GCCGGTCCGTGAAAATATTGTCGGGCATAAACTGGTCCGTGGCGCAAAAAAGGTTGGGGACCGCTGTATTACACCACAAGCTCGGATCCAAATGTTATTGGTTACGTTATTATTACTGCTTGATTACTTATTGTTAACAGATAAGTGGTCAAGCAGTGAAGCGACTAAAGGCTTTCACAGCAAACTCACTTCTTTTATATCAGACCAATGAAACTAAAACTCTCTCGACAGATCCTGACAGGAGAAGACTGGAATGAGGTGATGTACTATGGCATTGAGTCCCAGGGTGGAGTGAAAGACAAGGGGATGATCTTCTCCATCTTCTTTATTGTCCTGACACTCTTTGGCAACTGTATCCTGCCTTCACGCTTACCTGTGCATGTACTCAAATGTGCTGTATACATGTACAGTCTATATGTACTAAGAAAAGTTATACAGATGCATATATTTTGTCATACACATAAAATTCAACTTGTTTTGCTTCTTCTGTCATTTGCTTGTCTACAACACGTCGTATCTTTTTTGTCTCCACTTGGTTTTCTGCTTCCTGTCAGCACTTCTCCCTAACCTCTGCCACCACAGACACTCTGCTTAACGTCTTCTTGGCCATCGCTGTTGACAATCTGGCCAATGCCCAGGAGCTTACAAAGGTACAGGTCTACGTGTTATGCTATGTGTTACCCAGCTGTTGTGGTTAGCTAAAGCACTTGCAAGCATAAAGATCTTCCTGGCAGCTTTCACTGTGAGAATGCTTTGGGCCAGTTTATAGAAATATACACTGCTGATAAAAATTAAACAAACACTTTTTAATCAGAGTTTAACATCAAGTTATACTCTGTTAAACTGATTTGGTCAATTAAGTAGCAGAGGGGATTTTTCATCAGTTTCAGCTGCTTTGGTGTTTTTTTTCTCAAAGATTTATTTATTGCTTTTCCAACAACATTTTAACCAACAGGAAGAGAGAGTTCAAATAAAATAAAGGAGAAAATTAATAAAAAAAATTTAAAAAAATTTGGGTGTATAATAGTAATGTATGTACATCATATATGAATAGTGTTAGGGGAACACATAGATATAGTTATACA